GGCATATTCCGGCTGGAAGCGAACACAATGAAACTCGCAAAGAGCTCCGGGCAAAACTCCGTGCTAGCCTGAAGAGAGACCGCGAATTTTTGTGGTCTCATGGTGCATCAGAGATGGAAATGGCCGCTGTCTTTGGTAATCAATGAAAGTTATTCCGGCTATTATGGGAAACGGGCAGCACGAGACCTGGTGTTAGTGAAACAATTTATGACAAGAGTGGACAGCCTATCCACAACTTGTCGAAACGCTTGGAGCGTTGGGCTGAGCACTTTGAAAGGCACTTTAATCGGTCAGAATTGTTAGATTTCGCGCCGGCCACTGATCGCCCCGCTCCGTGGACTGTCCCTTTGGAACCAACCTCCCGCTCAGAAGTCGAAAGTGAGAACAACCTATTGAAGTTAAATAAAGCCGCGGGACCAGATGGTCTTCAGGGGACCTGCTCTTGTGGATGATTTCTTTGAGTTACGAGTGAAGCTATGGGAGCATGGAACTGTCCCAAGCAACTGAAGCTGCTCCGTCTTAGTCCCAATTTTCAAGGGAGGCTCACGATCGGAATGCGGCAGCCATAGAGGAATCAGTCTGATCTACATCGCCTCTAAATTGCTTGCCTCTGTCATCCTTCACAGACTGACTGACACTCGTGAAAGCTAGATTCGTGAAGAGAAAGCCGGATTCCGTCGTGATTGTTGCTACATTGACCACATCTCACCTTGCGTCAGTTGTTGGAGCACCATCACATATATTGGCGGCCCCCCATTTTCCTGTTCCTCGAAATCAAAGGTGCATTCGATTCGGTGGATAGACGTGCACTTTGGTACTGTCTAATCAGGAAGGGTGTAGCTGAAAAATATGTAAATATTATCCGAGAATTGTATGTGCGTAGCTCAGGCAGGGTGAGGGCTTACGGCAAGCTGTCGTTGCCCTTTAATCTCTCCAGCGGTGTGAGACAAGAATGCCGCTGTCACCTTTCCTCTTCAAGTTCGCTATTGATGAAGTCATGGAAATCGCGTTCACAGGACACGACTTAGAAGATGTAGACCTGCTCCCAGGAGAACGACTTCGTGACTTAGATTATGCTGATAATATTGCCCTGTGACAGTTCACAAACGTGCCAAGCGGCACTGGACAGATTAGCACTAGCTGTCCGTCACTTCGGGCTTTGCTTCGCACCCTCGAAGTGCAAAGAGTTCCTCCAAGATTGATCTGGACCGCCTGCTACGCTTACCATTGGTGGGGATCAGCTAGAAGTCGTTTGGCTGGATACACTTGCAGATATAGCTAGGAGCCGACCTCAGTGAAGTTCGTCCTGTAAGTTGCGTTGTCCCATTCCATCCCTCTTAGCCTCCCCTTCCAGTCACGATCTCATAATTTGGCCTTATATAATTTTGCATACTACTTTTTTGATTCACAGTAGCCGGCTGGTAGCTTACCGGATCGATGCCCATCCGTTACCGGTAGCTCAGCTGGCTTGCACCTGTTTCATTTTATTCCCTTTTTTCTTTCAGGGATTGCGACACAGTAGCTAAGGTGTTTCCAACCTCCAGCTAACGTGCATGATGATGATGATGCATGACACTGAGCTTCAGTGGATTAGGATCTCAGTCGCCATGCACGACGCAGCAGCATTTGCTCGTCGCACTAGCCATCGTCACCGCACCAGTCACTGGATATCCGAGAGCTCGGTGAACATGTTAGAATCTAGAAGATACCTCCCGGTTGGCTCTGAGCACAGTGTGACCAGACGCTCTATTAGGCGTGAACTAAGGCGGAGCCTACATGCTGACAAGGAAGTCTGGTGGACCAGTCAGGCTCAAGTAATGGAGGAGGCAGAAGCAGTAGGCAATTACCGCAAGCTCCAGCAGCTAATCCGTACCACTGGTCCCGGGAAACCAGGGGTCAGCAAGACAATCAGAGAGAGCGCCGGTGTACTGATGCACAATAAAGGCGCCGTACGGCTAGTTGGGCCCAACAATTTCAAGATAATTTCAGCTGGCCCCTGCTCCAGTACCTCTTCCTACTCAGGTGGGGTAGGACGAGCCATGGACAGTTACTTTAGAGCCACCCTCGGAGGCCGAGGTCCGAAACGCGATCACAGCCCTCAATAGTTTTCGTGCCGCTAGCCTGGATTTCCTTCCACTTGCACTATTTAAGGATGGAGATGAGTACCTCTTCAAAGCACTGACCTCCCTATTCGAACGTATCTGTAAGGAAGAAAGTGTCCCGGCTAATTGGAGCGTATCGATTATAGTGGCAATATAAAAGAAGGGCAGTCACACAGACTGTGCTAAGCACAGGGGTATTAGCCGAACGCCAGTTGTGACAAAAGTACTGGCCTCTATTATCGTTAGTCGCCTCACTATGGAACTGGAATCTCGGAATGAGGAAGAGCAAGCTTGGTTTCCTCTCAGGACGTGGCTGTATTGACTATATCTTCACTTTGCGGCAGGTGCTACAGCAGCGCCACGCATACCGCGGATCGACAATAGCTGTGTTCCTCGATTCCAAGAGTGCGTTCGATTCAGTCGATCGATCGATTCTGTTCGAAATACTTGCGCGGAAATGTGCTCCCACGGAAAATGTGAACATCCTTCGTACTCTATACTCGAACACTACAGGCCGCGTCTGGGTCTACGATGTCCTATCCGATTGCTTTCCGACCACAAGTGGCGTGCGTCAAGGTTGCCCGATTTCCCCGTTTTTGTTCAATTTCGTCGTGGATTCTATCATGAAGTTTTTCCTTGCAGAATCTCACGATGTAGGCATTGAAGTGCTGTCTGGTGAAAGGTTAGTTGCTCTTGTTTACGCAGACGATATCGTCTTGCTTTTTGATCACGTTGCGACGGCACAATCGACTCTGAATAGCCTGTCCAGAGTGGTCCCACTATTTGGCATACGCTTCGCACCTTCAAAGTGCAGTGTTGCTGCAGGACCACCAGCCATTTGATGACCCCCTTGACCCTTGCTAACGAGGAACTCGAGGTGGTTGATCATTTCACTTATCTTGGCAGCTGCATCAGAAATGATGGGCGCATAAAAACTGACGTCAGCTCACGCAATGCATAGGCCAGAGCTGCCTTCTTGAACCTGCAGCATCTTTGGCGACAGAAGGGAATTTCCCTCTATCTGAAAGGCCGTGTATACAAGACCACAGTGAGGGACGTTCTGCTCTATGGTGACGAGACTTGGCCCCTTCGGTCTGAAGGGCTGAGGCGCTTTCAAGTCTTTGATCATCGTTGTCTGCGAAGCATTGCTGGTGTCGGATGGCATCATCGTGTCCGCAACGATGATGTGCGTAGGCGAGTACTAGGTAGTGATAATCATGTTAGCTCCCTAGAACAACAGATAGCACTGAATAAGTTGCGGTGGCTCGGGTACGTGCTACGTATGCCTGGTCACCTCTTACCTAGGACGGCCTTGTTCAGGCTACCAATTGTAGGGTGGCGCAAGGCTCGAGGTGGACAACCCGTTGGCTTATCAGCGGGAAATGAAGTCGCTGACGACCAAACTGGGTGCCGTTGGTCCGCCTCGCCTTCTGGGCTGGAGTCCACGTGACTCACCTTGTGCTTAGCTCAAGACTTTACAGTACATGGCTTGCAAACGATACGAGTGGCGGGTCTGCCGTCCTCTCTTAGTCGGCTTACCTGTTTAAAGTGTGTTTGGTGCTGTGTTATCCGCGGGGTAATGGCTGATTATGACGCGTGGCAGTAAAAGCCGCAAGGAAGCTGTCTCGCCGTTGCCCCTTTATCTTTGCATGCTAGCCAGCTGTTTGTGACGGTAGGTTGGCTACACAAGGTGTAGGCGCCTTGCCCCTGAATGTTTGTTTATGGCATTAAGGTTTGTAGGTAATCCCGTCTTCTTTCCTTCTTCTTGTTCTTCATTTCATTGGTCCTCATGGTTGTATGGCAGCAAAGCATCAGTTCAAATGGCTGATGTACTGCTGTTGAGGATGATGGTCGGTGAGAGATATCAACTCAAGCACGGTACTGTGACCTTGCAACTGGATATCGTAAAGGTAGAAAAATCGCTGGCGAGGGACTCCAACGTACACACAAGATACCCACAGCTGTCAGATTTACATCAGTATAACTACGTTTAAATATACCAAACTGAATGAGAATCGAGGCCAAAGTAGGGCCAGTTGGCGAGCTTTATGTGCGGCAAAGAAATCAACGCGTGTAGAAGCACGAAAATACGATCTAGCTGACAACGTGTAAAAGTGGTTGGCAAACGGTGTACTGGTGGCGTGTAAAGTTGTGCAATCAGCGGAAGCAACTTCAGTTAAGCGCGGTATAGCAGCACAAGACATGGTATGCTCAGTAGACGTGATACCATCTGGTTTCCCAGGCCGAACTAAAGTGTCTTAAGGAGACACAACCCCGAGCATTTAGATAACTATCATACTCGCAAGGTAATGGAGTAAAGTCGGGGAATTGCGAAAATTGGCAGCCGGTGACCGATTACTCAGTTCAGGCGCCTTCCTCTTGGTCAATTACTAAGCAGATGCCCAATTATCCGCATTAGCATAAGAGAAAGATGAATGAAAAATAGCAAGAATGATTCAGTAAAGACCAAATTTTGAGGACACGTATGTTGATAACATTCACAGACATGAATAATAGAGCCGGGCCAAACATGTAAAGTACCTTCACAGCAAACATGTGCTGTTGAGTGGGCAGTGACTTATACCCACGAGCTGGAAAACATTAAAACAGGTCACATATTGCATTCGGCGATTGCCGGAACATGATATGTTTAAAAAGTAGACCTTCATATTGTACATGACACATATACCATGCCAACTGATATTTTCGGACTGACATTTAGCATAATGATACTATAATAATGACGCATCAAGCTACTTGATTTTTATAACCTTCATTTGAGCGGCTCAAATTCTTGAAAATATATGCTAGCTTATAGTAGTGATCGTCGAGTATCTGTATGAATCAATTCGAAACTGAGCTGCGATTCAGTTAACTCCTGAAACATTTTACACAAACCATCAAGCTTCTTGAGACGTGGAAGTCTACGACATGCTTCTTCGCGCCAGTTATCCCCACTATTTTCTTCCAGGGGGTTGCCTAATTTATGCAACATAAAGAACGTGAACAAATGTAATTACCAACAAAAACCAGATCCTCCAGATTTTGTAAGTCTGAGAGCTTCTGAAATTCACTCCAGTCCTTTACAAGATTGTTGGACATATATAACACTCTTAGTTTTTTCAATACACCCACACCTTTCAGTTTTTCAATGAGATTGTAGGAGATCCATAGTTGTTCTAATGTTTCTCCAACTGCCTCTAACCCTGTCAAGTTTTTAATATTATTTCTTCCGATTGACAATATTTTTAAATTTTCTGTATGTCAGAAGTAATGCAAAAAGTGATTACTCAGTCCGTTAAGGTTAGAAATCTTTTCTATACAATTTGTTGATAAGGATAGTTTTCTGCAGGCACGTGATACTTATACGATTAACGCTACTCGCATGCCGTTAGTGTTGATAAAGATGCATCGGTTTTTTCGATAGGAGGGTATTGAGCGTATAATTTAACTTCTTTAGCCTCTGATGCCTTCTGTCCAGTTTTCTCTTCCTAATAAAGCATACAAATAGACGCAGAAAAAATTACACATACCCATCTTTTTATCGCTTCTTTTATAGTGGTCGGTTTGTCCTGTACGCACTAGTACCTTTATAACAAACAATTTACCATCTAAGAAGGACGTAAGCGTTGTTTTGCGGAGTAAGTAATTAACGAGGTCTAGAAAGGCCCAAAATGTGCAGTGCAGTTTGGTACGCAAGCTATCGTCTGATGGAGAGGAGCCATTAATGGGTGAAAATGAATAAAAAACAATACATACTTCATCTAAAGTTGCATATGTATATAGCCCTAAAGTTTCATTAGTAGATATTTTCAATAGTAAATTTGCTTTTTTATACCGTCAATTTAGCTCTTAAGACTTTTATTAGGTGTTTACTTATTTGAACTTAAAGTTTTTGTTTAGTTTATCATTCCTGCTATATATGCATCATAAAACTTTATGCTGATTTTGTGAGCGCCAACTTCAAATCGCTCTCTGCCAATTCGTGAGGTACTGGTTACCGTTGTTATGATGACAGCATTTGAAAAAGTGCTAACTAGTACGTTGAGTCGTTGGGGCATTATTGTAGACAAACCAATCCAGGATAGAAATGCATTAGTGGGGTACTACTTTAGCAGCTGGATTCCCATAACGTACAGTTTTACTATCCTAACATTGCGTTCAAGTACATTGCACCCATTTTTTACCACAAATCGACCAAGCAACATCGGAGTGAACTCGAAGTCTCCTGGATTTAAACAGCCTTTAACAGTTACCCAGTGTCGGACTATCCACGAAAGTAAGAATGCTTGTAGCTCATCCCCATCACACGTCGTACCATACTTATAGTGTAACTCAAGCCACGACCACGACGATATTACTCCAGGGAGAGTAAGTTCATCTTTGGTTAGAGATGAGAGTAAAGTTGCTTCCAGAAAATGTTGACTGGCTTGGATTCCTGTCGCTGAACATTCTTTATCCTAACTCATTCTGCTTTTGTGTTAGGGTAAGATGCAGAGTTGTGAGAGAGTAGCTCCCAAACACCACGTCGGAAGCAGTTACAGTTATCGAAATGACATGTTTGCTTCAAAGCAAACTGTCGCCCCAGTCAAGTTTGCATGTCGTTTGTCGGACACAAGGCGGGTACTGCAATACCTAATAATGAAAACTGTAAGTGCTCGTGAATGCTTTCGACCAGACTGTTAACTACGGGGCCCTGTACCTTCTTGGGAGTTAAGCCACAGCCAAAGAATTAGTAGAGCGTATCGAATTGCTAAAATGCATTAGGCATTCTATGATGAGTTTTAATGGTGGACTGACATCCATAGTGGTGCACTCATCAGTCCAAGCAAGCACTGCCAATATTTTCGGCAGTACAGTCGGGTACCGGGATGGCTTCTGGCCATCCAGTTATGCGATCGAAAGGTGATTGTGTGTGCAAATCCACCACACGAAAAAAGTGTTTTACAGCGTTAATGTGTACGTAAGAAAGTCGAGAACCCAGGACAAGTAATTAGCCGAAAAAACTGAGAGGCGCTGCAATTAACAACAAGATCAACTCAGCTTAGCTTACGATTGGCTAAAAAGCATGGTGTGTAGGACTAGTTAATACTAGTCCGAGGCGGTGCGCGAAAGTAAGCGCGAATATCAGAAGGCAATGGGAGTCGGACACAGCGGACTGTATTCGATGGGCTACAATAAGATGCGGACGGATGAAGCGAGACGAGAGCGTACACGTAAGCGCGGGAGCTTACAAGGAGGTTGTGTGTCGAGCCGGTTGTAAGATTAAAACAAGAAGGAGTAATGTGCAATCGGTCAACAAGTACATTGTACATGAAAGATAAGAGTTATCTTTTTGGGCGCTACAGAGCTCCCCCTAGAAGGCTGAACATAAAAAGCCTTCGAAATCGAAAAGGAATGTTGAAACGAGGTCCGTGAGGCAAAATAGTGCCGAGTAAATTGAGCGTGCGTTCGTGTAAATGGGGGTTCATCGGAAGTCGGAGTCCGCTGTGCCGTTTATGATTTGTTATTTATTGAATGCAGGGCAGAGTGCATTTCGGCGAGCCGTTGGAGCGGGCTCATCGGACTACAAGAAACGGGCTAGCCCTGAAAAAGGCCGACAGGACCTCAACCTCCGCTACTGCCAAACGGTGCGCTTGGAATTGGTCTCTCCCCCCGCCGCACCCCGCTCGCGCCAAAACGACCCTCGTTCCAAGTAGAAACGACAATGGTCCCACGAGGAAGCGGTCCTCGTCCCGCGGCGAAGCGACCCTCGTCCCGTGGAGAAACGACACCCGTCCCGCGGAGAAACGACCATTGAGCGCGTCAGGGTCCTGGAAAAATTCCTAGTGTGGGTCAGTCGATCGAAGGGGAGGGTTGGTGCATGTAGAGGCGAGAAAATAGAAAAATACACGCAGAAAACGCCAAAAAGAACGAACGAATGATCTGCGTGTTTAAATATTTTTTGGTTTTTGAATATTTTTTCGAAAAAGGTTTTCTGGAGGTTTTTTGGTATTTTTGTTTTTTCAAAAGTTAATCGACAAAAATGGGTCATATATGTACAATATCTACAAAGTAAAAAGTATTTACACTGTACATAATCGGAGAAACGAATGGGATTACGCATCTCCCGACCACGGCGATTGGTCGTGGGCAGCGGACTAGGTTCGGGAGATGTCGGGACGGCTGAAGCTTGTAGACCGTGATCGTGGTCTGTTGGACCTCATTGGCA